GACAGCAAAATGAAATCAAGTTTTGATATCAACATCAAATTGAAATCATAATTTGATTTCAGTTTTGCAATTCACAAATTTGATACCAAATTTTGTTTTCATTTTGCTGTACATTTGCTCTTCAAAAATATGTTGTTGTGGGTTTGTTTTTATTGCCTTAGCATAACATCAAATTGAATACTTGTTTTGTTATCAACAGGAAAAATTGATATCAAATTTAGTTATCAGTTTGCTTTCACTGATAGCAGAAATAGTTTTCAATGCGATGTCACAGGAAGATTTGTTTGCTCTCAATTTTGATATTTTAACCGTAAAACGGCCAAAACGACAGCAATCTGAGTATGGTCTCAAAAAGTACATTTTCGGAAGCAGCTCACGTTAGATTGTAATCAACTTCAAAGGTTCGTACTCTTTGTGGTTCAAGTATACTTAAAAGGATGGTACAAAGCACCTACTGCAACAAACGCACCATTGAATGAATTGAAGTTCACACAATGCTTAAAAAACAATCATGACAAGGAGCTGAGCGAAAGCACTTCCTATAAATTTGAAAAGCATTTATGGTAGGGTATACGTCCCTAACCTCGGTCTAATATGCAGCCATCGATTACGTTTTTAATCATAACTCATCAATGAATTTACCTGCAAACGATATTCTACTGCTAAATGGTATGCTTAGATATGCTTATCATGTCGTTTGCTATCAGAAACCACAAAAAGTTGAAAAACTTACTTTTTTTAAGACAATAACTCACGAGGGAAATGTATGTAATATGGGTCTATTGTCCCCAAATTGGGTCTATTTATGGATGCAACTTCGTCCTATCTTGTTTGATCCTCAAAAAAACGCTCTTGGTAACGTTTTCTGATGTATTTTTTTTTTATCACTATCACTGTTAACTTAATGCTCTTCATTCCTCAAAACATTTCTTAGAGAAAATTTTACGAAAACTACATTAAATCACTCAATTTAAAAATTAAAAATTAAAAATTTCGCTTATCGTCTTTTGACCGCAGAATATCTAAATCAGAACATTGTGATGTTCATTATACAGGTTTGGCAGAAAAAATCTCCCTTCCTGTTCGTTCCTTATCATCCAAATGCAAAACAACATTGTTGACGTTACTCTTATTGCTATATGCTGTCAAATGAATTTCATGGGCCATAGTTAGGAACATAGAAAAGAAATGTGTCCCTAAAGTTGGGTCCATGTTTTACTTGTGAAAACGTTGTTAAACAATTAAAATAAACATAAAATATTCAAACAGCAACTGTAAGTTTTACGTCTAGTGTGTATTATCAGGTAATTCCAATCAATAAATGCCATAATCAGGCCATTTGATGATCGTCAGTCAACCTTCCCATCTTAACCTTATAAGTCATGGCGGCTAAAAACTCCGAACATTGTGATATTCTCAACCAGTTTTATTACTTACGAGAGCTGAAAATGTATTGAAATGTTGTGATATAAATTGATTTGTGTGTGGTACACATTTATCAACCATCAGTGATCAATATTTTCCTTATTTTTTGTGTAATATTCCTTAATTAATTATTTATTTGCGTGATAGGCCGAATGAAAGGACTAGACCCACATTACATACCGTAACCCTATGTATCAGAGCTTAACATCAGCCTTGCGTTTTTTGCCGGGAGTGTTGCCGTTGAATTGAAACGGTAGATGGTGCGGAACGTAAAGAAGAAACGCAGTGGAAGAAACATGACGAGAATAAAAAAAATACGACCGGAAAAGGATTTGAAGATTACGTCACAGAGAATTCGTTGCAGTACTTCGAAATTATGCGAGTTGATTGTAGTTTCCTGTATGAGAAAGATCCCAGGAACTGGAACAGCAGGATTGATTATCTTGCTGCGAAAACAAGATGTGACAGCGGAATAACCCCTTGGAATAGCAAGAGATTATAATGAATTTGACCCAAAGACTGACCATCATCCACGAAATGTACTAATGGTCATAGCAGAAAACCGTAAAAAGACAAAACAACTCATTAAAAACTACAGTTTATGTATCCATAAAATTTTCAATCTTTCAACTGTATTTGATCTATAATATTGTCATGATTGCTACCCACTTTTGATTATTAAATGCTATAATGTACCTTGAAACTCACCATTGGCGGATACGAACCAGTCCAGGGCTAAAAGTCTTCTTAATATAAAAAAAACTCACCATTTTAGAAATAAAAAAAAAATGCATCAAAATAATGTGACACAAAATCTGCCGTTACAAAATTTTTCTCTAACAGTTTGAAACTTGAGGAACCTGCAAAAAATATAAAAGGGTTAAATTTTGCTGAAATTTGAAGATTTAAAAATATTTTTTTCGATGTTATGCAAAATGGACTTTTTTTAATCTCTTCGGGACGACCTCTAAACAACATTTCCCAAAGTTGTCGTCATTCAAAGGTTTGTTTATAATACCCTTAGCTATCATTTAGAGACTGAACCACAAGATTTCCTGGAAAAGTGCAATTTTCCGTATATCTTAATAATTAGGGTGGCCCCTGTCGTTAGTGAATTCAAAATATACACCGTGTCCAATGTATTCTCATACAAATTCAAACTGTTTTATTTTTTCTTCGCATCAGTAATTACGATTTTATTAGTAACTGTGTGAACTGAAAAGCGATATAATATTGATCAATTACAGCACATGTTTTGGAATTACCCTGCCTTCAACCTATTTGATCAGATTCAGGCGTTTCTCAAATGCATCACAGATGGCATGCACGACTTTCATAGGCATTTCGTTCCATATTCGTTTGGTTATGGCTCTGAATAGAATCTAATTTGATAACCTGTGCTCGTTTACCTTCGACAGTATTTATGACCACAAGGCATTCAGCTCTGGTGAACTGTGAGGCCATTTATCTTTGGCTAAAATGTTGGTCAAATTATCTCTTCATCACCTCTGAACAAGCGAGCTGTGTGAGAGGGCACTCCATTCTACTTAAACACATAACGATCTTTTCCATTAACTACTTTACACTTGGTTTACCAATTTTCTCCAAAGAATTCATTTCATAATAAATAGCGTAAACTTTAACACTTTTTTCCATAAACACTGATGTAATTTGCCGCACTTGCATATTCCTCCAGAAACCATCACTGGAGCAGTGCTTTGGAATAGTGGAATATTTCAGACACTCCCTGGTACATTTTCCGATGTGACTGTTGCAGGGCAAACGTCTGAAAGGTCAAACTCTTCCCTAGCGTGCCGTGATAGTAGAACAATTGCTTCTGAAACGTCATGAACTTTCCGTTTCTTGTAAGCTCAGGTCAAGTTTCAGGACATTGTGCAAGAAAGATTTATAAATATTAAAATCACCAGCCATTTTACGTACAAAGCGCTAGGATTTTCGTCAAATCCTTTTCTGGCTTTTTTAGTAACTCGTTCTGTACTCACTGAACATGCTCGGCCGGGATTCTTCATGGTACCTTCTGATGGCCCAATAGACAAAATCACGCTTCATTCCTAAGATTTTATTTGTCGATTAAAGATGGGCACATCATGAAAAAAAAGTGGGCACATCATTTGTTGAAATATAGTGCAAAAAACATCAATACATAGTTAGTGTATGTGCCGCAGTTATACTAAAACAACGAAATGAAAAAGGGTATGAGAATTTATTAGACACGGTCAGGCATGGAAAATCATTTGCATTCATTTACATTCATTTACCTTTAACTTTTTTCATCAACAGCATTCCGAAAAATGATGTAAAGAGCTTTTGTAAGTTTTGTTATTAGCTACAACTGATGTTTACAATTCAAATCCGTATCTCTGATGCATGACGAACCAAAACGAACGGAAGCCACTACTGTTTTTTAGTGAATGTATTTTACATTCACTGAAAAACAGTAACAAGTTCTGCCCGCTGACAGATTCTGAGCAAAAGTTGTAGCTAATAAACCTAAACCTAATAAACCTAAACATAATAAACCTAAACCTAATAAAACCTACAAAATCTTTATACATCATTTTGCGGAATGCTGTTGATGAAAAAAGTAGAAGGGTCTGTGCCTAGGGGCACGAACGGAAGCTTGACGTAGGACCGCTTCTTTTAATTGATCAATTATCTATTATCTCAACTCTTTCCGTTTTTGAATTGTAGGCGTACCAAATTTGTAGAAATTTTTTTCATAGAGAAAGTTGATTAAGAGAATCAATCAAAATCACTTGCACCCCTGCTTGCAAGTTTGGTTACAAGATTACAACTCTGGAGAGCATTTTGTGTGGTCTTTGGGGGCTTGTGGTTCTGAATATGGACAAACAAGTTCCAACTCTTTACTGATGTAAGCTTGATGGCCGTGGAAAGGGCCGATTAATTGAAGAGGACATCCATGGCCACTTACGCTTGACGTGTTTAGTGTAGGTGACAGCATCACGGATCGCATTTTTCAGGAACACCTTCAGCACACCTCGTAAATCAGACCGGAGATACGTCAGACACCGCAACGACGAGCCAGACGACGGATGGGGGTTATCTCGAAGAATTTGTGTTTGGTTCTGAATATGGAAATATTACGCATTTTTCCCTATTCGTACGCGCCCGAGGATCGGAGGTGAATGCCACTTATAGCGAATTTGTTTATTATCCAGGTTGGAACCAGTTCCAACCCGTGCGAACCTGAGCATATTGTCAGTGCGAACCTCAACCCGAGCCAGGTTACAAAAACAAACGTTAACACTGACGTTTGAAAGGCAACAAGCAGACCCAATCTTGATACCCGATCCAGGTTGGAACTGAATCAAAAACAAATTCGCTATTAGACTTGTTTCGTCTACTTACTACTCTCTGACGACTGTGCTGGGGAAGCAGCATATGCATGTAGGTAATTGGTGGATTTGTTAGTTAATTCGACGCTTTTGGACAATGCTGGACATTTACCAGTTTTTCAAAAGTGTCTTGTTTGAAATCAACATTCGGAAGCATTGTTATCGATGCGTAACCATATTTCTGATCGGTTGGTGATAAAATTATTGAAATTGGACCAGGGGCAGCTGAATTATTAACGTTCAAAATCTTTCTTAATTTGTAACATGTTCCATTTTTGGTTTTCACAAAGTGTACCCCCATATAGAAATCAAAGACGTAGTCCTACGTCAAAAATTTAGAGGCAAATGAATGTAAATGATTTTCCATGTCTGGACACGGTGTATGCATCTTTATTATATGAGACAGATTTCAAATGGTAAAGCTTTCACCATGTTTTGATGTTGTAGTTGTGTATGTATGTTTATTCAAATTCAATAACATTATGAAATCGCAACGGACTTTTGCTAGGCTTCCATCTCTTAGTTTGGACTGACACTTTTTACCGCCGCTCCAACTTAGATAAACTTTTAATATCGACCCTGTTTGGATGATCTGGAAAATGTTGGTTTAGAGTCGTGTTGATGAACTTTGATATCGACCACCATTATGGTTGAGAGAAAATCCAAGTCAAGGCCGATTTTGGTAATCTTTAGGATATATTAGTATTTAAAGGTTGACATGCCAAAACCCTGTAGCCAAGGTTGAAGAGCAAGTTAAAGTACACCAAATGTATTACATAAATACATGTTATGTTCTAAAATATGTTTAATAGATTTGGGAGGAAATGCTACACGAATATCAACATGAAGCTTTAGTGTCATAATTTATTAGCCAGAGAAAGTTCTGTCTGAGGATAGATTGATGGTTCCACTAGAGTACGGCAGTGTGAAAATTGAACAGAAGTTGAAGTTAAGCGAAAGGCCATTAATGCGACAATACTAATCAAATGCGCACTAACTCATACTTTGATGGATGAGGGGATTTGAGGTATGTCGTCAAATCCACAGGCGAAAGAGTGTGCGTTTGATTTGCTCATATACTATCTGCGGCTGTGGAATAGTTCTAGCGATCCCCTCATCCATCAAAGTATGGGTTAGGCAAAAGAGCACTTAATGGGTTAGTATTATCACATCAATGGCCCTGCACTCAATTTCAACTTAAGTTCATTTTTCACAATACCGAACTCTAGCGGAACTATCAATCTAATCCTCTTCAAAACATTCTCTAGCTAATAAATTACGGAACTGAAGCTTCATGTTGATATTAGTATAGCATGTTGTCCCAACTCTGAAAATCGAAAACTTCACGTATGAAGTACCGAAACACTTTGATTGAATGTGTTTAATAGCTTTTGAGACCTATATATTTATTGGATTTATAGTACTGGAAGATTTTAGGTCAACAGTTGTTAGAAATTATATTTTGATTAAACATTTTACACTATGTTATGTAGGGTCGGGTGGGGCAAGAGTGCCACCTTAAAAATGGTACGTTCTATATATGCCAAATAGTGGATATTTATAGGAGTTTCTACACAGTATTGCAACTTCATATTGTTGCCTTCATACATCAGCAATGTAATGCAAATTAATCTTCTTTTTTTTAACTGCGATGGGCAAGAGTGCCAACCCCTATGGGGCAAAAGGGCCATCATGCGTCTTAAATTGAGTGGAATCGATTAATGCTTGTTGGTAAACATAGCCTTTTGATTATTAATCATACTAGCAACAGTTGTTTTTGTTTACTTAATTTAACTATTGAATTTTACAATATTATTCAATACATAACAAATAAACTGTTTACCAATTAAATCAAATGAAAACTATTGTTGTTGATATGTTATGTAGCTGGTTTTGTTAAATTTGGTGAAAACACGCTTACCGAAGAGTTAAATGCGCACTGAAGCAATTTCTGTTGCATTTTTGTCTAATTTTATTCATAAATATATGGGTGGCACTCTTACCCCGTGTGAGGTTAATTTCTAAAAAAAATATTTTTGACCAATTATAAGAAATATTTATATATTCTTTGTTATTGGTGTTTCAATTATTCATTATTAGTGATGCCTCAACGCAGGAATTGTAGAAAACAATAGTTGGAAATTCCAAAATCCTTATTTTATGAAGTCTAATCATCATAAGTAATTTCGATTTTTGCAATTTTTGAAATACTTCATTTTGGACAGAACTTTCTATAATGCTGCATAGGAACACCATTCATAGTTTCATGGGTGAATTAGCATTGAAAACATGTTTATTTTTTAAATTTTAGGGGTGACACTCTTGCCCCATATGGCATTCTTGCCCCACCCGACCCTATGAGTATACGAACGTACATATAAACAGAAGTAGCTTACCATTTAATGTTTCATTTGTATTGGATATTTTCATTTATTTTTGCTTACAGTTGGTAAACCGCTTCTCAGTGAAAACACAGAGTGTGGCTCTGCGGTGCGAAAATTTTGAATTTTAATAGGGAGATTAATAGCATTACACTATCTACTTTAAAACAGGTTAACTGAAAATTTAATTGGATTTAGAATAAGAATTCTACATTAAAAAGTAATGAAAAAGTACCAAAAAGGGCGATATATCCCTGCAGGAAATTAAACACATGAAGCGGAAAGAAATTAAATGAATACTTTGATCAAACAATGTATGGTTCTTATACGCTTCTAAACCACCTTGATTCAGGTTCGTAGAAATACGTTTCGTATGTGATTTATTCAGCATGTGAATATGAATTAAAATTAAAAGCTCTAATAACTGAATCATGACACCTTCAAGCCTTTAAGATATTTTACCATAAACACTTTCAAAAGATGTTCATACACATATGAAAGGCTGACAGAAATTATGTTTATCAAGATAAGTTTAGCTTACATTTAGATTTGTTTCTGAAAACTTATCTATCTCAATATTGTTTCTAGAATTGAATTGATACTGAGCTCGTTGGCTCTATTTTGAATGAAAAGTTTTGAAGAGTTCCAACTGTTTGTCTTTTGTATAAGGTCATTGTATAAGGTATTCATGAATTTTATGACATTCAATCGTTTATTCAAACACGTTTGTTTGTTAACTACGTAGACAGTTTGGCAATTGGCAATTATCCACATCCCGTACAAATTTTAAAAATTGTCTATTGACAATTTTCTACGCAGGGGGAAAGGGGGCAAAAATCCAAAAAAAAAACTGTCTACGTAGCACTCAACGAGCAAAGCAAAGGAATATCTTTTATAAGTCTTCTTGAAGATCCTTGGAAGAACAAGAAATTCTGAAAAAAAAAATATCAATTAGTCGATCACTGAAGATCCACTCTAAGCAAATACTCACAATCAAACTAACAGCTCCCAGTAACGTAGCCTTTGTCCCAACGTCCATATCTCGTGGAAATTGGATTGTGAAATTATCGAAATCCGATAACGCCTCGCGGATAAGTCCGGTAAAGTGCTTCACGATACTTCCAACTTGGACACCATCCAGAGATACGATCTGAAATTCAACATCGTTAAAACACGTAAAGTTACACCCGGGACCCTTGATGCGCAGCACTGCATTTCCAGCGACATCCAAAATGCTGAAACTCGATCTCCAAGCGCAAAAATCCTGTTGAACCACACCCAACAGCTTATCACCGGCGTCACCGAAAACGTTCAGTCGTTCCCGGCTGAAAGGCAGCGGGAAGCAACAACACGGCAAGCAACAATTAAAGACGCATCGTGCCTCCCTCTTGAAGCACAGGACAGGAGCATTGCTCGTCTTGCTGACCACCGACTGGGTGCGGAATCCTTGAGGAACACAATTTCGAAGACACAAATTCTCACGTTCCTGAACTTGGTATATGATCTGATCGTTTTCGTTGATCAGATCAAACTCTATCGGCATATCGCAACTACAGATGATCTGCGTTACGTGGACCTCCTGTTTGAATCGGATCGTTCCCACATCGAGCAGATACTCCAAGCCGACCGGATGGGCTGGAAGCAACGGTTGTTGCTGTTGCTGGTACAGAGCCGCTTGTGATTTCGGTTGCTTGGAAACCGGTTCATCCAAATTGGAATAGCGTGGTGGGTGCTGGAAGTAGAAGTTGTGTGTCTCTATCAGTTCATTGAGGGGTAAACGGACATATAATTAGCTAGCTCCCTGTCTTAAGTAGTTCATCTAATAGATAGCAGTAAGCAAAAATGTTTGCTTAACCTTCAAATTAAAATTAACGAGACATTTTAATAAACAGGAAAAAAAAACATAATTCTATGAATATTAGTCGTATTAGTACAAAATTCATAAGGCATATGATTGTCATCACAAAAAAAAGAAGCTGAAAATTCGGTAATCGTTAATATTATGTATTTTCTTCTTGGTAGGACTGACGATCTATATTGTAAGAGGTATAATGGAAGTTTACAAGAGAGTAGAAAAAATTGTGCTTTTCTCATGACGTTCGATAGTAGCGGAAGCATACTCCTAAGTAACTGTAAAAATAGTGAGAATATAGATTTTCAAGCATCACCGAGCCAACTTGGTTGCACTTTGTACGTATGTATTCAGTAACCATTTGTGCTGTAACTTTATGCTGTCAGTAGTATGCACACACGTGCAAACTGTGTTGCGTTTACGTTAGAATAGGACATAAATCGCTTAATGCTCAGCCACGTCGAATTCATCACATTCAAAGCAATATACACAATAAACACCGAATGTTTCAAGTAGGCAGGTCCCATCAACTTAAAACATGCCTGGACGGTCACCCTCTTTGTTTCCAGATTTCTCGAAAAACATGTAATCCTAGAACAAAACAAAGCATCGTTAATGAACTAGCTAATGGTTTACCGGTAATAACACATACAATCAGGAAAAGACAGCCCAAAAGAGTAGCCTTTACCCTAACGTCCAAATCCATGGGGAAGTTGATTCCAAAGTGATCCGAATCTGTGAAAACCTCCCGCGCGAAGCCGGACCACTGCTTCGAAATCTTACCTACCTGTGTCCCGTCGTTGGCAACGACCTGTTTCATTAGGGAATAAATGCTAGTTATAAAAATAAAATATGTAGGATTTCATCGTCCCTTACCTTAAACTCAACATCACCACAAATGCTAAACGTACAGAAGGGTCCTTCGATTCGAAGCACCGTACTGCCTGACTGATCCTTGATGCTAAACTGCGGCGTAAAGATGGACCAATTCTGTTCGACCGTCCCAATCACATTGCCGGGTGGTGCGGACACTTCCAACGTTTGTAGACAACACGGGAAACAACAGGATGAACAACGCAATGGTCGATTGAAGTGGAGCACCTCATTCTGGTAGTAATCCAGCACCTTCATGTCAAATGGCCGCGCGGGGCCACAGCAATTTCTGGTGCAACAGTCGGTGTCCTCCACCGCCCAGTACACCTTCTGGCCCATGGTATTTTTAACGGTGTATTTATTGGCCGTCTCGAAACCGGTGAACGCTTCGAGCAGCTCGACCTTCTGATGCACTAACAGCTGGTCAATGGACGTAAGGTATTCCAAGCCGGGAGGACAGTTCGGTATCCCTTGCGGAATAGTCATCCAACCACCTGGAGAGTTGAAAGGAAGAACAAAGATATTTTAAAATAAGCGATGGCCTTTTACGTGTTTTTATAACACAAGATACGTATACTATTCTCTTATAAAAAATAAAGACTGTTAACTGGATTTAATGTCAGACTATGTCTAAACAATAGGAAAGCTTTTATTAAACCCATCAAAACTTTGCTCATAAAACCCGAAGTAATTCTGAGCAAATTTCACAACGCCTACACCTAACAAGGAAATGTAAGATTGTATTGCAGATTTGCATAAAAAGCATGCAGATTATGAAAAATTTCACCGCATGGACAGATTCTGTAATATGGTCGTCAGAAAGTTTTTTTTTATAATTATGTAATTTTTATGATAGCTTATTATTCGCACAAAGTTTGTTTATCCTATTGCACTGCGGCTAGAAATTCATCTCATGAAGGTTTTGTATGTAAATAGTCATTCTAGACAAACCTGCTTCTACTGTAAGAACTGACATTACATTTGTTGTATGAAAACATTCAGGAAATCCTCTTTGACATTTGATGCCGTTTGTTTTGCGTGCAATGAAATTTAACGGGTCGGTAAAGGCGGCTGATTTGATTCCTGGTCCGGTCTTAAATTGTTTTACGGTTGTAACATTCCTCGACTTTCCGGGGCACACAGATTAGGGTGCCAATGAAAATGGCAGTTATGATTTTTCCAAATAAACCATTCACAAAATGTGTATTGCCTCTAAAAAAGATCCTATAAAAAATAGGCTCAATCAGACAGGATTTAAGGTGGCGTAAAGCGGTCAAAGTTTAAAAATTTCTTCTAAAAAAACACCCAAAAAATTCGGAAATCAAAAAAACAAATGTCGACAAAACAAAAATCGATTTTCTGTGACTGAATATTGATCCTTGGTGAATTGGTCGATAATATTGTTCACAGCTACTTTCAAAGTAAAGTCAACTCTCCATAATTCGGAGTTACAAGTTATAGAATTATCCACTTATAGAATAAAAAAATATTGTCTCTAATTTCAAGAATAATACCGAAATACTCCGCGTTTACTGGAATATCTGACCGTATTTATATATATGTTAGTTTGAACATATTGAGCAGTAAGCATATATCAGGGGAAACATGTCAGAAGGGTATAAATCGAAACGTAAATAATGACTTTGAACGTCGATTTCTCTTGAATGACCACACACCCACGGAATCTGACTACACCCCAGCTCATAGAACGAACATTTCTCTGTCAGATGATTTAGTTAGTTTAAGTGGGTGTGTTGTCATTCGTAAGAAACCGTCATTCTATTATCGACGATATGTGCTTGTATTGCAACCACTTAGTATCAGTCGGCCGGCGCCGGTGGTGTAGTGGTAAACGTGAACTGAATGCTTTCTCACCCCCAATGAGTCTAGGTTCAATCCCAGCCGAGGTCGGTGAGATTTTCTGAGGCATAAACATCTCTGGTCACGTCTTCCTTCGGAAGGGAAGTAAAGCCGTTGGTCCCGGCCCATGTTTGTTTGAATGGGTGCAAAATCCTACGCAGGTGTGGAAGCGTGTGCCTTCCTGCACATTCGATTGCTGTCAATGGATGGCAATCGATGTCCGTCGGTGATTGGTGATTGGCACTAGATTGCGGAACAGAGAAGTATCAGTCGATGTGAACAAACACAGCTCAGTTTTGTTGTGCTTCCTGCTGAAGTATTTCCAGTGCAGTATGAAATCCAACACTTGAGCTGCCGGCCTCACCCCCGACCACCAGGCCGTATTGATGAATATCATCAATTACTTTTTGATTTAGGTTTAGCGACTTGCAGTCAATTTAATTGTTTATATTATTCATATGAATTCGAAAAATGGGTCCAGGGTCCATTTATGGAAGCTCTGAGTAGTTAATATACATGTTTTATGAAACCAATATACACTTAACACGCAATAGGATGCTAGTGCTTGAAATTTAATTTGTCAATATATCAATGTCAACATTTCTGGATGTGACACTATTGTCCTGAGGAGGTCCGGTCATTAGGCCGATTGGTCATTAGCCCAGACTTAAATAAATATTGACGAGCTTCCTGGATTGAGAAAAGACTCAGGTTGTTTTATTTTAAAATATTCCGGACAAGGAGAAATTTCCAAGATTCTGGATCGTCCAAAATAGCCAGAACAAATATCTAAGTGCTTGAAATCTTAAAAACATAACTGTGTAATTTTGTTTTTCATATTTTAAGCTCTTACATATTGGTTCTGACTATTTGAACGTTCCAGAATGTTCATTTTTTTCCTTGTCCAAAATATTTTAAAATAAAACTTTCTGTGTTTTAAAGATTTTTCTTAATGCAGGATCATAAAATTTTCAAAACATGAAATCTCAAAATTTATTATTTTTAAACATTTTTCAACACCTGCATCTTGATTCAATGGCCAATATCTCGAAAATCATTCTATGTTCGAATTATCCTGATACCCTTGGAAATCTTAACAGGATATCTTCAGCATTTTCTGAAGAATTTGCTTGAATCATCTTAGAATACCCTCAGAGTTCATCTTAGACCTCTTTCTAGTATTTTCTTATAATTTGCTCCATAATACCATAGAGGTAACTCTAAGACCAGAAGGTCTCAAAGAAACGTGCTCAACTTTTAGGCTCAGCTCTGGTACTCTCTTCGGTCCCAAGCTAATCGATGCACCCCTCGAAACATAGGAAAATCCACGAACCCCTTATTTTATCTGTCAAACTTTCATAGCGAATCAAAACAAACATAGTGTTGTATTAGAGTTTTTACTAGAATGGGGTACGTTAATTGTTTGCGTGGGACCAATAGGCTAGTTAAGCAGTGATCCAATTTAAAATCGTTAGTTTTCACCGGTTCATAAAACCAACCGGTCAGCCCTCGTGCTTATTTCAGTTACCATAGGACGTAATTTGTGATTAGCCCTGGTTCCTTTCAAATCGGCTCATTATTTATGAACGGCCCTTATATTTGAAATGACGTTTCACATTCATCTAGTGATGTCCGATTTTCATTCGAATAATCGATTAACCGATTAACGAATCAAAAAGTAAAATATTTGTAATCGGCCATCATCACCCATCATTTCAAATTTCATCTTAGTTTTGCTCAGGACTCCCATAAATTCTTTGAAAAAGTCTTCGCAATTCCCTTGCAACTCTCCTTTGAATTCTTTAAAAATTATCACCGAAACATGGTTACAATTCCCTCGAAATGTTCCTTGAAATTTCGTTGGAATCTTTCTCGGAATTAAAATGTCCGTTGAATGTTACTTCCCTTGGAATTCTACTCACTTTGAAAGTTTCCTAAGAATTCGCTTGCAGTGGAGTAACAAATTCCAAAGATTCCTTATTGAAAATAACTTACTTTTGGAATTATTTTCCGAGTTCCTTTGAAATTTTCCTGGAATTATTATCAGATTTAGCGTACTCCAGATATATTCTCCGGAAATTCCCATTGGAATTATGGTCCGGATTCTTTTCTTCATGAAACTTCTTGAAATTATCCTCAGAATTCAA